TCCAGCATCAGGTGCAGATGCACTGCCTAGGGCCTAGTCCAGGGGTGGCCAAACTCCGCCCCTCCAGCTGTGGGGTGAAACTACAAATCCCATGATGCATCTCTCTCCAGGAGTCGTGGCTGTGAAAATCTTGCAAAGCCCCATGGGATTCGTAGTTCCACCCACAGCTGGAGGGGCGGAGTTTGGCCATTCCTGGCCTAGGCCCTTAGCAACTGCATATGGGGCCCATAATAAGGGTGGGGGGCAGGTATGCAGAAAGCGGGGGCCTCCATTTCAGGGAGGTGCAGAGGAGCATGGCAAGCCGCCCGGTGGAATGGTAATGCAATGGCGGGTTCCGTTGTCTGCGCCGGGGCTCTTTACGGCTCTCCAGATAACGGCACGGGAAGTACGGGGGCGGTATGTTACAGATATGGGGGCAGCACACTGTGGCCCTCCCTGGTGGTGGGATCGCACTCAGAAGACGGGACGCATCCCACAGATATGATCCCTACCTGCCCAGCGGAGGGACGGCTCCTTCCCGCGGTGTCACCGATAGGCTCTGGCTGCAGCCCTCCGAGAAACAAGACTGCTCCCGGAAACAGAAGCTCAGGGCCATCTTCTCGTTATTCATGAGGTAGACGGGTTCCCGGACCTCCCGGCCTGTCCGCGGGAGGAAACAGAATATGAAATAAACACCGACGAGGAACACCAATCACCCGAAAACATTTCATAGACAATGAGGGGGATCCACTATGACATCACAGGGGGCGGAGCTTCTCTTCCCAGCTGTCCTGTGCTGAGGAGGAGCAGCCCACAGGTCTTCATTCTTATCTCAACCTTCCATAGAACATCGGGGTTCCCCAAGAAGAGGAGGGATCCATCGGGGTTACCCCATGGGAGGAGGGATCCATCGGGGTTACCCCAGAGGAGGAGGAGGGATCCATCGGGGTTACCCCAGAGGAGGGATCCATCGGGGTTCCCCCAAAGGAGGAGGAGGGATCCATCGGGGTTCCCCAGAGGAGGAGGAGGGATCCATCGGGGTTCCCCCAGAGGAGGGATCCATCGGGGTTCCCCCAGAGGAGGGATCCATCGGGGTTCCCCCAGAGGAGGGATCCATCGGGGTTCCCCCAGAGGAGG